ATCCCAGGTACAGATGGCTTCAGTGGTAAATTCAACCAAATATTAAGTCTCTAAAGAATACTGTGGTGAATTAATTATTTTTGTGTGTGGCCTTTATAGCCATGGTCTTGTAACTCCCACCCAGGCGATTGTGTGATAGGGTAATTGTGGCCTACTAAAGGGAGTGGTCAGTTTTGCCTTATGAGAGAGCCAATTCCAGAGCAAAGAGGACAGCCCACCAGAAGGAGAAACCTGCAGCAAAAACCAGCGGCAGAGGCCCACAGGAGATGGTGCAGTGGGCTTCCTGGCCCATGCAGCGAGAAAGCTGAGTGCCTTTGGGCAGAGATTGAGGGCCAGGGAGCAGTCTACACCTGACCCATGAATTTGGTACTTGCCAGCCTCCAAAACCTTAGGAGCCATTTCCTTTATATGGTCCATGAGTTCTGTGAGACGTTGCAAGAAATTAGGGAACCCAAAGACAGGAGGGAGAATACTGGGGCAAGAGGGAGTAGTTGATGTTAGAGATGACGGAGTGGTACTGCAGCTTGGAAAAGTTAGATATCTGGGACATTTTTAACCATCACCTCAAAGGAACCAGCTTTGTGCTAATCCTTATAAAAGAAATTATTCGTTTAAATACTTAATACCGATTATTCACATACTCTTACAGAAAATATAAGAAAAGGGAATACTTCCCAATTCATTCTGTAAGACCAGTATTATTCTGATACCAAAACCAAAGACAGCATAAGAAAAAGAAAATTTCAATATCTTTTAAGAATATAGATGTAAAAATTCTCAACAAAATGCCAGCAAACTGAATAGAGCAACACACAAAAAGGATTATACATCAGGACCATGTAAGATTTATCCCAGGAATTCAAGTTTAGTGTAACATCCAAAAATATACTAATATAATATAAAAATGTCCAGTAAGCTCATGAAAAAATGCTTGACTTCATTAGTCATCAGAAAAATGCAAATCAAGACCACAGTGAGATACCACTTTATACAAGGATGGCTAGAATCAAAAAGACAGATAATAACAAGTGTTGGTGAGGATGTGGAGAAATTGGAACTCTCATACACTACTCATGGAAATGTAAAATATGCAGCCTCTTTGGAGAACAGTCTGGCAGTTCCTCAAAAAGTTAAGCAGAGTTACCATATGATCTTGCAGTTTCAGTCCTAAGTATATACCCAAATATCTAAAAACATATGACTGCCCCGTAAAACCAAATGAGACTAACAGGTACACGAGTCCAGTGACAAGGGCCAGAAGGCAGAAGGGGACAAGGAAGCTGGTGATAGGGAACCCAAGGTTGAGTGAGGATATTGTTGATGTGTTGTGAGATTGTTAACCATTGTCATAGGGCAACATTTGTAGCAATTGTTAAATGAGAAACTATTTTGTTCTGTAAGTCTTCATCTTAAGTGAGAATAACAGCACAATTGGAAGAGCGTAGTCAATGTCACTGAACTGTGCATGTAGAAAGTTTTGAAACAGTGTATCTCTGGCTATGTGTATTTTCACCAAAAAAAAAAAAGGTTGAGAAGTTAGAGGGTTAATATGTTGTGGGGTTGTTAACCAATGTCATAAAACAACATGTGTACTACTATTTGTTTTGTAAGCCTTCACCTGAAGTACAATAAAATATTAAAAAAAAAGAAAATAAAAACATATGACCACACAAAAACTTTTACATGAACATTCACAGTAACATTACTCATAACAGCCAAAAAGTAGAAAGAACCCAAATGTCCAGAAACTGATGAATGGATAGGGAAAATATGGTATATCCATATAATTGAATATTATTCAGTAATGAAAAGGAATGACATACAGTGGTCCCCCCTTATTCGTGGCTTCGTTTTCTACAGGTTCAGTTACCCAGGGTCTGAAAATGTTAAAATGGGTACATAGTGTGATAAAATCTCATGCCGTCCTGCTCTGTCATTCATATAACTTTTATTACAGTATATTATTATAATTATTCTATTTTATTATTAGTTATTGTTGTTAATCTCTTACTGTGCCTAATTTATAAATTAAACTTTATCACAGGTATGTATACATAGGTGAAAACACAGTATATATAGCGTTCAGTACTATTCTCGATTTGAGGTATCCACGGTGGTCTTGGAACATATCCCCCATGGATAAGGGGGGACTACTGTATTGATACATGCTATAATATGGGTGAAACTTGAAAACATTATGCTAAATGTAAAGAGCGAGTTATAAAATATCATATATTATATGATCCCATTTATATGAAATGTCTAGAGCAGGCAAATCTATAGAGATCATCTCCAAAACTATGAGACAATAAATTTAAAGTTTTTTAAAGCCACCTACTTTGTGATATTTTGTTATGGTAGCCCTAGGAAACTAAAATATATGCTAACACTAATCAAAAGAAAGCAGGAGTCATTGTATTAATACTAGACACTGTAGAGTTCAGAGCAAAAATATTATTAGGGATAAAGAGGTCAATTCATCAAAAGGACACAGCAACCTTAAATGTTTATGTACTGTTATGGATTGAATTGTGTCTCCCAAAAGATATGTTCAAGTCTGAACCTCTGTACCTGTGAATGTGACCTCCCTTGGGGAAATAGGTTTTTCTTTGCCAATGTTATCAGTTAAATTAAACAAGGTAATACCAGAGTAGAGTGAGTCCTAATTCCTTTTGAGTGGCTTCTTATAAAAGAGAGGTACAGGCCAGGAAACAGTCATACACATAAAGAAGACACCAAAATTCCTCTACAAGCCAAGGAACACCAAGGTCTATAGAAGCTGAAAGAGACAATGAAGGATCTTCCCCTAGAGCCGAGACTCTACCAATGCCCTGAATTTGGACATTCAGCATCCAAAACTGAGAAAATAAATTCTGGTTCTCTAAAGTCACCCAACCTGTGGTATTTTGTTATGGCACACCTAGGAGACTAAGACATGTACCTAATAACACAGCTTCAAAATACACGAGATAAAAACCGATAGAACTGCAAGGAGAAACAGATAATGCCACAATTATAGTTGAAAATTTCAACACCCATTTCTCAACAATAGATAGAAGTAGATACGCTAAACCAGCAAGGATACTGGATACCATTAAATGTGTCTAAATAATTATTGTCAGAAATTTCAATATCCCTCTCTCAATAATGGATAGAACAAATAGGCAGAAAACTAATAAGCATATAGCAGACTTGAAAAACACAATCAACTAATCTGAACTAACCATTTATGGAACACTCCACCCAACACTTCAGAATTCTTTTCAAGTGCACATACAACATTCACAAAGACAGACATATTCTCGGCTATAAAAACAAGTGTTGATAAAGTTAAAATGATCCAAATTATACAACATATGTTCTCTGACCACTGTAGAATTAAATTAGAAATCAATAACAGAAAGATATCTGGAAAGTCCCCAAATATTGGAAACTAAAGAACATACTTCTAAATAATCCCTGCATCGAAGAAGAAATCAAAAAGAAAGAAAGTATTCCGAAGTGAATGAAAAAGAAAATGCGGCATATCAAAGTGTGTGGGATGCACGTAAAGTATTACTCAGAGAGAAGTTTATAGGACTAAATGCCAGTATTAGGAAAGGAAAAGGTTCACAAATCAATAACCTCAGCTTCTACGTTCAGAAACTAGAAAAAGAAGGGCAAATTAAGCACAAAGTAAACAGAAGAAAGGAAATAAAACCAATAAAGGCAGAAATCAATAAAATAGAAAACAGAAAAAAAAAATCAGTGAAACAAAAGCTGATTCCTTGAGAACACCAATAAAATTGATAAACCTCTGGCTAAACTGATTAAGAAAAAAAGAAGATCCAAGTTACTATTATCAGGAATGAGAGACATGCATTGCTGCAAATTTTACAAACATAAGAACAATAAGGAAATATAATGAACAATTTTATACCAATAAATTTGACACGTTGGGTGAAATTACAAATTCCTTAAAAGACACAAGCTTTAAAGGCTCATTCAAAAAGAAATGGATAACACGATACCCTTATATCTATTTAAGAAACTGAATTTACAGTTAAAAACCTCCCTACAAAGAAAACTCCAGATCCTGATGGCTTCACTTATAAATTTTACCAAACATTTAAGGAAGAAATCATACTTATTCTATACAAACTTTCCAGAAAATTGAAGGGGAAGAAATACTTCCAGACTTACTTTATTAAGCCAGCTAATTTTGTTACAAACAAGTTATTTTAGGTAAGCCTCCCATTTGTATATATTGAATTACATGGTGTTGCAATTACTTAAGGAAACTTTCCAGGAAACTTTCCATTCTGTACCCACTCAACAGCCAAAGCTTCTGTATCCACTGATGTTTTTATAAATGAATCTTAAGACTGTTATCTCCACAATATGGAAAGACTTTCCAAACAGATTAGCCCTCAAAGGATTTGCAAAGGTAATCAAATTTTAAATTAAATTTTACTGATGGGTAAGACTTCCTTCCTTTTTAAACAAATGGGCAAAAGTATATTAAATAAACTGTTCTTTAGTTCTCCTTAAATGGAAGAATGAAAACCATCTATTACTTTTGTTATAGGATGTGCCTACAAGCACTAAGTACTTAAATTTGAAAAATATCCAGAGAAGTTGTTTTATTTTTTAAGGTTAAGTATATTTGATGACTAAGCAAACTTCATATAATGATCACTTCTAAGAAGAATCTATAATCTTTGACTCTAATGTAATTTTTAACCAGTTATTTAACAGAAAAATATTGTTACATTCTAAGTTTTTTTAATTATACATAAACTCATTAAGCAAATATTTGATGAGTGAAAATATACCAATCCCTCAACTTTCTAACTAATGACTTTTATTTTACTACAGTGTGTAGGATAACATATAGGGGGAAAAAATTCTTTAAAAGTGCATAAAAATGCTCCAGATGTTAAAAATGAAATTCTTTCCCAAAACATTTTGATATTTTCCAGTTATTACATCACATTAAGACAATGTATACATAAACATACCGTGTCTTGCTTTGGAATTTGGACTAAAACAGAAAGAAGCTGTTCTGTATCAAGAAATCTTGATATAACTGAAACAAACAAACAAAAATGTGAGCATTTAAATTTTATGGTACAATTGAAAATATAGACTATGCAAAATATTATCCTAGAAAAATAAAATATAAGTCTACCTGCAAATATTATTTCATTTGTCTTTTTTCTATCTTACCTCATTTTATTGCGCTTCACTTTACTGTGCTTCACAGATACTGTGTCTTTTACAAATTGAAGGTTTGAGTAAGTCTATCAGCACCACTCTTCCAACAGCACGTGCTCACTTTGGTCTCTGTGTCATATTTTGGTGATTCTCGTAATATTTCGAACTTTTCATTATTATTATATCTGTTATGGCGATCTGTGATCAGTGATCTTTGATATTACTATTATAATTGGGGGCACCACGAAACACGCCCATATAAGACAGCAAACTTAACTGATACATGTTGTGTGTGTTCTGACTGTTCCACCAACCGGCCGTTATCCCGCCTCTCTCCCTCTTTTTGGGCCTCTCTACTCCCTGAGACACGATAATATTGAAATTAGGCCAGTTAATAACCCTAAAATGGCCTCTAAGTGTTCAAGTGAAAGGAAGAGTCGCAAGTCTCTCACTTTAAATCAAAAGCTAGAAATGATTAAGCTTAGTGAGGAAAGCATGTCGAAAGCCAAGGTAGGCTGAAAGTTAGGCCTCTTGCGCCAAACAGTTAGCCAAGATGTGAATGCAAAGGAAAAGTTCTTGAAGGGAATTAAAAGTGCTACTCCAATGAACACATGAAAGATAAGAAAGCAAAACAGTCTTATTGCCGATATGGAGAAAGTTTTAGTGGTCTGGATAGAAGATCAAACCAGCCACAATATTTGCTTAAGTCAAAGGTTAATCCAGAGCAAGGCCATAACTCTCTTCAATTCCATGAAGGTTGAGAGAGGTGAGGAAGCTGCTGAAGATGTCTGAAGCTAGCAGAGGTTGGTTGATTCATGAGGTTTAAGGAAAGAAGCCATCTCCATAACGTAAAAGTGCAAGGTGAAGCAGCAAGTGCTGATGTAGAAGCTGCAGCAAGTTATCCAGAAGATCTAACTAAGATAATTGATGAAGATGGCTACAATAAACAACAGATTTTCAGCGTAGACGGAACAGCCCTATATTGGAAGAAGATGCCATCTAGGACTTTTATAACTAAAGAAGAGAGGGCAATGCTTGGCTTCAAAGCTTAAAAGGACAGGTTGATTCTCTTGTTAGGGGCTAATCCTGCTGGTGACTTTAAGCTGAAGTCAATGTTCATTTATCATTCTGAAAATCCAAGGGTCCTTAAGAATTATGCTCAATCTACTCTGCCTGTGCTCTATAAATGGAACAACAAAGCCTGGATGACAGTACATCTGTTTACATCATGGTTTACTGAATATTTTAAGCCCACTGTTGAGACCTACTGGTCAGAAAAAAAGATGCCTTTCAAAATATTACTGCTCGATGACAATGCACCTGGTCACCCAAGAGCTCTGATGGAGAGGTACAAGGAGATTACTATTGTTTTCTTGCCTGCTAACACAACATCCATTCTGCAGCCACGGATCACAGAGTAATTTCGACGTCAAGTCTTATTACTTATGAAATACATTTCATAAGGCTATAGCTGCCATAGTGATTCCTCTGATGGATCTGGACAAAGTAAATTGAAAACCTTCTGGAAAGGATTCACCTTTCTAGATGCCATTAAGAACATCGTGATTCATAGAAGGAGGTCAAAATATCAACATTAACAGAAGTTTGGAAGAAGTTTACTCCAAGCCTCATGGATGACTCTGAGGGGTTCAAGACTTCAGTGACCTTGACAAGTCTCAGTGCAGTAATGGGCACTGAAACAAGACTGCAGTGGACTGAGAAGTGGTGATGAATAAAAGATGGTGGTGATGAAGAAAAGATAGTGAATGCAGAAAATTTGTTTTCCATGAGTTTGTCTATAAAAGGAAAAAGAAGGTGGTAGCTGGAGAAGGAGATGAAGTCCTGGGAGAGTTTTTATAAAGATGGGAGACTTGTACAAGTCTAAAGCCTCACAGAAAGATCCCACAGAAAGATACTAAATATACAGAAGGCAATTAAGTGCAAGGATGGGATCTAGAGCCCAGATGGAGAAATTAGCCACAGACAGGAGCAAAAATATCACTTCTGATTTAAACAAATGTATGAGTGTAACTGTATGTCTGATAGCAGAAATTTTAAAAAGATGACAATGGTTGGAACTAGACTAATATTAGATGAGTAAATGACTTTTCATATTCCTAGTACTTCTATATTACACTGAATGCCAGGTAGAGGTAGGCCAACAAGATGTTTCTGTGAACAAGAAAGCTTTCTAGTTCAAAGTGGACTCTTTGTACCTTTCCAAACTTCTCACTAAATACACAGGAATATATAGAAAAAAGTGAATATACTCAACAACACTGCAAATGAAGTCATAGGAAATATAAATGCCAGAATTTTGAAGGAATTACACTAATTATAAGCTATGGTATACGGAATTAGACTAAGGCAAACTTACTCAGGTTATATAAATGCCTTCTAGATTTTCATGTACCGCTTCATTTCAGACTACCAGAACACCAGAATGGGGTATTCTGGGAGATGGAGCTATGGAAGACAGACCAAACTGCCAGAAAGCAGGAATCAGACCAGGAGCAGTGTATATAAACTGTCCTTCCACTCATAGATTAAAGAAGAAAACTGCACCGCCATGCCAGTGAACAAATAGCCAGGCCCCAAGGGCAATTCTCTTATTCCATCTGTTGATAGCAACACAGTCTGGACAAATCTTGCCTTCTTTAAGGATTACAGCAGAGAAAAAGAATTAACAAGGTGTCTATGAAAAAAATCCACAAAACAAAGAAAAGATAATGTCACTAAGAAAACCAAAATAAAAAACATACTTCTGAAATTATTTACTATAGGATTCAGAAGAAAATTTCAGGAAAATAGCTTTCATCAAAGAATACAAGAACTTAAAACTTTACTTCCTGATTTTCAGAAACATGGGAAAAATAATTCAACTAGACCGATTATAATTTTTAATAATTTGTATTTCTAAAATTAGGTAATATTCATATACCTGACTGAAGTCCAAAAAAGAGTTCTTCATCTTGAAGTAGTTCTTGAACACAATCTAATCTCATGTTAATGGTTTCAATATCAACTAGAGGTTCTAATATATTAGAACGGAGTCTTCTACTCCCTCCGGGAGTCTTAGTATAATTTAGAACACCAAAGAGAGTGTGATTATTCCTTTGAAAACACAAGTTAGAAAATTTTCATTAAGTATACAAAGGAAAATCTAAAAAATTTGCATTTTAACTTTCTGATTATATAATACTATAATCTACAGCAATGATGCTCAAACTTCAATGTGAATACAAATCACCTGGGAACTTGTTAAAATTCACATTCGGATTCAGTAGTTCTGAGCAATGACCTGAGAATCTGCATCTCTAACAAGCACCCAAGTATGCTGCCAGTCAATGGACCACACTTTGAGTAACAGGGATCCACAATATCTGTTTGCACTTAATGACTTTTTCATAGACTAGTTACAATATTCAGACTAATATAAAATTTTCTAGCCCATGACATTCTACCAATCAAGGCACTCTATCAGTAATATATTTTTAAGAAGAAAAAAACTTTCACATTGATAAAACTTTTACATTGATTTAATATAATCACTTCTGTTATAATTTAAGTACAGGAGAGTTAAAAGTAAAAGAAAATTTCATAATTTCTAAATGATTCTTAAAAAGAAATGAGCTACTATTAAGAGCGCATTTCACTGGACTATTTATTAGGCTATGACGCTATAAAAAAGTTGGCTCATTCCAATATTCGACAAATATTTATACAGCCCATACAGTATGCCAAGTTCTATGTTAAGCACTGGACATATAGGATAGACATGATTCCCACCATCATGGATCTTATAATCTAGTATTGATAACCAACAATCCTTGTCAGTTTACTGACCATGTCTGTGGATAAGACAAAGAGTAAGGGGACATAAAAACAGACACACAATCATATAAAGAAAGAAAGAAAATAATTTCAGGTACAGAAAATGCTAACCACAAAACAGGAATGTGTAGAGAATGACCAGTTGGTTGAGAAAGACCTGGCTATGTATTTGACAGCTGAGCTGAGACCTGAATGATAAGAGGCAGCCATGCAAAGATGATGATGGTATGGGGATGATGATGACAATGATCATGATGATGATGACAACTAACATATATTGAACACTTAATATATACCAGGCATTGTTCTAAGTATTTTATATTTAATTCTAATCATCCACGGTGTCATGGTTTGAATTATGTCCCCCCCAAAAATGTGTATATCAGTTTGTCTGGGCCATGATTCCTGGTATTGTGTGATTTTCCTATATGTTGTAAATCCTGCCTCTGTGATGTTACAGCAGCACTAGATGACTAAGACACACAGTATGAGGTGGGTGCTATTGTTAGCCACATTTTACAAATGAAGGAACTGAAGCACAGAGAAAGTATCCAAGGTTTCTCAGTAAGTAGCAGGGCTGCAATTCAAGCCCAGGAAGTCTGAACCAGAAGATTAAGGTTGGTGAAGCTTAAAAAATGAGAGTAAGAATGAAGAGAAATGAAGTTGCAGAAGTCAGAGGAGTCCTTGTAGGCCAGGGCAAAGACTCCAGATTCTACTCTAAATGTAATGGAACTACTAGACTGTTTTAAGCAGGAGAGTAACAAACTAATTTCTGGATAAAAAAGATTACTCTGGCTGCTATGTTGAGAACAGACTGACTGCAGGAAGGAGGGTAAGAAGAAACCAGAGAGGCAAGTTAGGAGGCTATTGCAGTAGTCCAGGCCAGACAGAATGGTGTTTTGGGATAGGGTTGGAGCCTTGGAAATGGTAAGAAGTGATTCAGAATTGGTATATACTCTGAAGGCTGAGTCAAGAGGATTACTGATCTATTAAACCTGGGGTGTGAGAGGAGCAGAAACAAGGATGACTAAGTTTTAGTCATCAGACTACCAGATTTTTGGCATACCAATTTAAACAAATTGTAAGGGAACTACTTAAATCAAGTTCTCACTGAGGGTATCTCATCACATGCATGATTTGTTTTTATTTTTTTAACTTTTTGAGAATTTGGATTCTGCAGGGACAGAGAAAGCGAGGGGCACATCCAAACTTGCCACTTACTGTAGAAATCATGGATTTAACAGTGCACTGAACAGGTGACACCTATGGAGGCATTAGAGCTATTCAGACAGCTCAGTAGGTAAAATATCCATATTTTAACCTGATATTATTTTAAATCTGTGGAAAGACTTTTCAATTTCTCCTTTTCAACTATAATATGAACTCCTTTAGGTCAGGTATCCTTTGTATTCCCTAAAACATAACAGGAACTCAAGAAATGTTTGACAATGATACTGATAAACAATGATGAAGTATGAAACATGACAGTATAACTGGGAATAAAACACTGTAACAATTACTAGGCTTGGTCATTGACTTTCTATGTTATTCTATGTGATTATAACACAGAAAGTCAAAGACAGAAATTTTTCTAGATAATATTATTTTAGCCTTTTTAACGTAGCAATGAGAAAAATATTAATTATTCCCTAAACAAAAAAAGAATACAGGCATTCCCTGGGTTATGAACGTCTGACTTAACGGACAACTCGTACTTGCACTTTAATGTTATGTAAATTTTCCCTCACTATGAAACTACGGAACCAACCCCCTACTCACGACAACTTCCTCATCACAATCACCTTCTCTTGCTGCATGTGCAACTTTTAAATCATTGAAAAGACTTCAACCTTTTCTTGCACTAAAGTAAGGCTAAATAAGAGCCACATGCACCTGTTCCAACTTACCTAGAAATTCGGCTTAAAGACACGGATAGTAACGGATCTCGTTCATAATCCAGGGACTGCCTGTAATTACAATTAACTATAAACTCCTAACAAAGGCTATAATTTTTAGACCATCATTACACAATGGAACTGCATTGAGGGTGTTGAGGCCACTATAGTATACTGATGGATAATGAAAAGTAATACGTACAGTATTACTGTTACATTTACTAAAAATGGTGCCAATAGTTACCTAGATAGATCTAAACTGCTCTTCACAAATAAAGTAAATAATTACCCAAATTAGGTAGCCTAGTTTCTAAGTTGGGAACAGCAAATAATGTATGGATATTTCACATAATAGACGGTGAAGCAAAGATAAGAATGTACAACAAAATGACAGAAATACTTAACCACAGCTGTAAACTAGCACTGAGCACCTTAAGGTTTGACTGTCTACAATACTTTCTATTTCCTTCAATACTCTTAGTATTAAAGTTCGTAATAATTTTAAGTCTATTCCTTTCATTGATGTCTGAAGTTATATTTATTGAAAGCTAAGATTCAACTACTCTAAGCTTACTTATTCCTACCTTGCACTTTACCAGTCAGTACAGTAAATAACTTACAGTTTCTTTGCACTTACCATATGGTTTCATGCCTTCAAGACTTTGTTTATGTTGTTCAGTCATAACACATTTTTTCTTCTTCTTCGTCTAGATAACTTCTATTTATACTTCAAAACTCAACTCAGGTATCATTTCCTCTAAAAAGTCTTTCCTAATTACTCTCCCTTCACCTCTTAACTAAGCCAAATTAACTACTTCTATGCCTCCACACGTCTGTCAGTTTGTCTTACTGTGGGGGCTTGCAGGTTGCTGTGATGCTGGAAGCTATGCCATCAGTATTCAAATACAAGCAGGGTCACCCATGGCTGACAGGTTTCAGCAGAGCTTCCAGACTAAGACAGACTAGGAAGAAGGACCTGGCAGTCTACTGCTGAAAAGAATTAGCCAGTGAAAACCTTATGAATAGCAGCAGAACATTGTCTGATATAGTGTCGGAAGATGAGCCCCTCAGGTTGGAAAGCACGCAAAAGATGACAGGGGAAGAACTACCTCCTCAATGAAGAGACGACCTTAATAACATGGGTGGAGTCAGGCTTTCACGACCTTCATTTCCTGATATGTGTCAACTCAAAATGAGAAAAACAGCTGCAAACATTCATTAATAATCAGAACGTGGAATGTATGAAGTATGAATCTAGGAAAATTGGAAATCATCAGAAATGAAATAGAATACATAAACATCGATATTCTAGGCATTAGTGAGCTAAAATAGACTGGTATTGGCCATTTTGAATCAGATAACCATATAGTCTCCTATGCTGGGAATGACAACTTGAAGAGGAGTCGCATCGCCTTCATTGTCAAAAAGAACATTTCAAGCTCTATCCTGAAGTACAATGTCGTCAGTGACAGGATAGTGTCCATATGCCTACAAGGAAGATCAGTTAACACAACTATTATTCAAATTTACACACCAACCACTAAGGCCAAAGATGAAGACACTGAAGACTTTTACCAACTTTTGCAGTCTGAAATTGATCGAACTTGCAATCAGGATGCATTGATAATTACTGGTGATTGGAATGCGAAAGTTGGAAACAAAGAAAGATCGGTAGTTGGAAAATATGGCCTTGGTGATAGAAATGATGCCAGAGATTGCATGACAGAATTTTGCAAGGCCAACAACTTTTTGAGTGCAAATACCTTTTCTCAACAACATAAATGGCGACTATACACGTGGACCTCATCTGATGGAATACACAGGAATCAAATCCACTACATCTGTGGAAAGAGACAATTGGAAAAGCTCAATATCATCAGTCAGAATAAGGCCAGGGGCCGACTGCAGAACAGACCATCAATTGCTCACACACAGGTTCAAGCTGAAGCTGAAGAAAATTAGAACGAGTCCACGAGAGCAAAAGTACATCCTTGAGTATATCCCACCTGAATTTAGAGACCATCTCAAGAATAGATTTGACACGTTGAACACTAATGACCAGATGAGTTGTGGAATGACATCAAGGATGTCATACATGAAGAAAGCAAGAGGTCATTAAAAAGACAGGAAAGAAAAAAAAGACCAAAATAGATGTCAGAAGAGACTCTGAAACTTGCTCTTGAATGTTGAGTAGCTAACGTGAAAAGAAGAAATGATGAAGTAAAAGAGCTGAACAGGAGATTTCAAAGGGCAGCTCGAGAAGACAAAATAAACTATTATAATGACATGTGCAAAGACATGGAGTTAGAAAACCAAAAGAGAAGAACTGGCTTGGCATTTCTCTAGCCAAAAGAACTGAAGAAAAAATTCAAGCCTCAAGTTGCAATATTGAAGGATTCTATGGGGAAAATATTAAACAACACAGGAAGCATCAAAAGAAGATGGAAGGAATACATGGAGTCACTATACCAAAAAGAATTGGTCAACATTCAACCCTTTCAGGAGGTAGCATATGATCAGGAACCAATGGTACTCAAGGAAGAAGGCCAGGCTGCACTGAAGGCACTGGCAAAAAGCAAGGCTTTAGGAATTGACAGAATACCAAATGAGATGTTTCAACAAACAGATGCAGTGTTGGAAGTGCCCACTCTTCTATGCCAAGGAATTTGGAAGACAGCTGCCTGGCCAACTGACTGGAAGAGATCCATACTTATGCCTATTCCAAAGAAAGGTGATCCAAAAGAATGCAGAAGTTATCAAATAATATCATTAATATCACAAACAAGAAAAGTTATGCTGAAAATCATTCAAAAGCCGTTGCAGCAGCACATCGATAGGGAACTTCCAGAAATTCAAGCCAGACTCAGAAGATGACATGGAACCAAGATTATCATTACTGATGTCAGATGGATCCTGACTGAAAGCAGAGAATACCAGAAAGATGTTTACCTGTGTTTTATTGACTATGAAAAGGCATTCAACTGTGTGAATCATAAAAAACTATGGATAACATTGTGAAGAATGGAAATTTCAGAACACTTAACTGTACTCATGAGGAATCTGTACATAGGCCAAGAGGCAGTCTTTCAAACAGAACAAGGGGATACTGAGGGTTTAAAGTTAGGAAAGGTGTGTGTCAGGGTTGTATCCTTTCATCATACTTAATCTGTACACTGAGCAAATAGTCTGAGAAGCTGTACTATATGAAGAAGAATGGGAAATTGGGATTGGAGGAAGACTCATTAACAGCCTGCGTTATGCAGATAACACAATCTTGCTGGCTAAAAGTGAAGAGGACTTGAACTACTTACTGATGAAAATCAAAGACTACAGCCTTCAGTAGGGATTACACCTCAAGATAAAGAAAACAAAAATCCTCACAATGGGACCAATAAACAACATCATGATAAACAGAGAAAAGACTGAAATTGTCAAGGATTTCATTTTACTTGGATCCACAATCAACATCCATGGAAGCAGCAGTCAAGAAATCAAAGGACATGTTAACCAATGTCATAAAACGATATGTGTACTACTGTTTTATGAGAAACTATTTGTTCTGTAAACCTTCACCTGAAGTACAATAAAATAAATAAATAAATAAAAATAAAAAAAGAAATCAAAGGATGCATTGCACTGGGCAAATCTGCTGCAAAAGATCTCTTTAAAGTGTTAAAAAACAAAGATGTCACCTTGAAGACTAAGTTGAGCCTGACCCAAGCCATAGTGTTTTCAATGGCCTCATATGCATGTGAAAGCTGGATAATGAATAAAGGAAGACTGAAGAAGAACTGACGCCTTTAAATTATGATGTTGGTGAAGAATATCGAATATACCATGGACTGCCAAAAGAACTAACAAATCTGTCTTGGAAGAAGTACAGCCAGAATGCTCCTTAGAAGCAAGGATGGCAAGACTTCGTCTCATATACTGTGGACGCGTTATCAGGAGGGATCAGGCACTGCAGAAGGACATCATGCTTGATAAAGTAGAGGGTCAGAGAAAAAGAGGAAGACCCTCAAGGAGATGGATTGACACAGTGGCTGCAACAATGGGTTTAAGCATAACAACGATTATGAAGATGGTGCAGGACCGGGCAGTGTTTCATTTGTTGTGCATAGGGTCACTATGAGTCAGAACCGCTCAACGGCACCTAACAACATGCTATATGATACCATCATTTTTTATGCAAATTTTTGAATGACTATACTTACCACAGGTTAATGATACTGTTTATGTGTCTCTTCTTCTAGAGAGTAATTTCTCCAGGAGTAAAACCAAGCCTCATTAATTCTTTGTGCCAAACTGAACCCATATTATTAATATATACCTTCTATAAACACAGGCTGTTTACATTATCTTCTAATAACATTGTCATTCTAGGTTTAGGTACTCCACTATGAAATCTACAAACATTGTGCGTGTGTTTGTCTGTGTGTGTGTATGTCTGCCTGTGTATCTCTCTCATGTTCACCATCAACATTCCCCCATAAGGAAAATTCTAAGGATTGCTCCTGGCATTCCAACTAAAACTAAATTAGTCCACCAATAAAACCAGCAATCTTTTCATACACCATAGAGCAAGTTGACCCAATAATTTTTATCTTCTACTCAGATGACTACACAGCCCCTTGAATTTCCTGTATTTGATTCTTTAAGCTGGTTATTTTAATTTTGTGGTGCTTCTAGACAAAAATATCATATTGAAACCTAATTTTAGTAAAACAACTGAGCAATTGAAGAACAATGATTAAAAATATGTTTATTCAATATTTTTCCATCAAACATTTTAAAAAATTTTAAAGTAACTATTCAAAGAAAATTTCAACAGAATAAAATATACTGCTATGTTTTGTAAGAAAAAAAACTGATCTTACCTACAGTCTTGATTATTAATTAGCAATTCAAGGTTTTGGGCTGATGATGAATCTATCATAGCTGTCTGTTCACTACCCTGGAAACAAATCTTTAGCGATTTTGGTGCATAAACTGAATTTTGAATAAATTCAACATATTTTAACAGAGCTGCAACAGCTGCAAGGCAGTAGTACCTGAAAGGTGACCAATGATAAATCAGTGTAAGTCTTCAGAATAAAGAAATTATTGCTATAAAAGGAAACATATATATACTTCATCTTATTATCAGGAAAATTATATATATTTGCATAGCACATCAAAAATAGTCCCTTATTTTTGAAAACTAGGTAAATAACCTCTAAAACATAAAAAATAATAAAAATAGACAGTTAATTTTCTGAAATCTAATGCTAGTGGATATTAAAAAACTCACTGCCATGGAGTCAATCCCAACTCATAGAGACCCTGTAGGACAGAGTAGAACTGCCCCATAGGGTTTACAAGGCTGTAAATCTTTACGGAAGCAGACTGCCACATCCTTCTCCCACAGAGCGGCTGGTGAGCTCCAACCACCAATCTTTTGGTTAGCAGCTGCGCGCTTCAGCCATTGTGTCACCAGGGCTCCTTTAGTGGATATCTGACTCCAATAAATCATTTGTGAGAGGACAATATTCAATGGTAATTGATGTCTTTTTTTATATACCATTCTAAGTATTCAAACAATGTCCAAAGAGTCTGACAGCTTTAAACGTAGACTCAGGAGGTCCCAAATGCATAGGAAAGTATGTTATAATCTTGGTGAGCGATAATCATTGTGATTAAGTGAGGAAACATGCAGTCTAACCTGGTTCCAAAAAAGTGTGTATCTAGCATGTTCCAAGAAATATCTGTTCCAAAAATATCATTCCGTCTCACACTGAATGTTTTAGGGGCAAAGATACGAAGTAATATGAACATAGCTCTAACTCTTTCAGTTCTATGCCCTCACATTTCTCCTTTCCTATAGCTATTTAAGATTTTTCTCTCCAAAGTCAAGTGAGCAGCAACCAGTAAATAGATTATGACTAATCTGGGGAAATTCTATATAAATTAACTAGCAATTTATATGCTTTTTTTTTTTTTTTTTTTTTACTATCTCAATAATTACTGAGTGTGTATTATGAGTCAGGCACTTTTCTAGGTGGTAGGGATACAACAGAGAACAAAACACAAAAGTCCTTGCCCTCACGGAACTCACACCAGAGATTTATTACTTTCCTTAAGTCATAACTTACTTGGATTGAACCTCCATTAAGACGGTGCTGAATTCTGCTATGCAAAACTGTTCAATGTACTCTAATCCTTTCGTTTCATTGAAGTATTTCCTTTGGATAGTAGTGAAATTAACGTTCTGAAAAGCAGTTTTAATTTCAAAATAAATTTTTAAGAGTCATACTCTTGCCCTAAACTGCATTCTTAAACACATTCTGGTACATGGGTAGATGACTTAAATATTGTCTAAAGTTTACTTTTTATTGTTTTCCACAGTTAAATAAAAAAGGTTTTCTCAGTTATTTACCAAAAAAAGTAGTTTTCCCTCTTGTAAATGAATTATAGTGCAGTTTGTAGCTCTTATCAAACTATTCTTGCATGAAAAAATTTTTTTTATTTCAGTCTTAAAACTCTGCTCAGGTTTCTACGCCTCTACAAAGCTTTCCCTGATATCACCCTCTCCTGGCCCATCAGTTAATCACTCACCAATATAAACTACTTTTGTACACATCTATATTACTGCACATATCACATTGAATTACAAACTTGTATTCATATACCTATTTATCCAACTAAACCATGAGCTCGTCAAAAGAAAACATAACATGTCATTAAATTTTTCATTTCTGGTGCATGCTATAGTTCTTTGGCACATAGTAGATGGTCAGTAAATGTTTAATTAACTGAGCTAAATATGTTAGGTACAATAATAAAAAACAAACATGAGGGTCTCTGCCTTCTAGTAATTTTATTCTACAGCAACAACATCACACAGGTTTTACACTCAGCCTTGTGTACTCTATCATAACTGAGAAAAGTTAGATCTTTATAATGTGGTAGCTGAGGAAAACGAAAATACTAATTCCACCTATGAGACCTATAAAATATTGTCACAAGATAAATTTAATTTATTTAGAATAGAGAAGGAAATAATGGAACTTTTTTTAAAAAGAACAAGAAAAAGCATGAAGTAGTAAAGTAAAAGTTTTACCTACTTTAAAAGTAATGAGTAAGAAAGGTAATATAAAAACAATGGACTATGAAACAGCTATAAGACAAAGAAAATCATGAGTGGGTATGTTATTTGTTACATGCCAAGATTGTTTTAAAATTTATCTCATCTAATCTTCACAGCCATGTAAGTCTTATTAACCCCAGTTTCTCAATAAGTAAATTCTGAGAAGTCAAGTAAGTTTTCTAATATCATACAGTTGATAAGTGTCAGAGCTAAGACTTGAATATAGATTTCTTTGACTACAAAGTCCATGTTCCTTCTATTCACATTGCTTCTGATCTAATAAAGGTTTTTTTATGGTAAATGTGGTAATTAATAACAATAATAATAATATTGCTTTTTTCCCTCTGCTTGTAATACTCTTCCCCCAAATACTTCCATGGCTCTCTCCCTCACTGCCTTTAGGACTTTGCCCAGATGTCATCTTATCAGTGAGGCCATTTATGATTACCCGATATAAAATAGAAATTCTCTAGGAGCTAGGTACTATTATTGTCTCTTTTATTGATTAAAAAAAACCTGGTGCTCAAAGAGGTTAAGGAAATTGCTCAAAAACACTTAAAGTCAGGATTTGAATCCAGGACAGTCTAACTCCTCCACTCTTAAGCACTAAGTTATACTGTCTTACAACTAAAGTGCTGTGAGAATATGTTGTTTTTGTCTTTGGAGGGCTCATCTATTCCACACTGCATGTGGTTCTGGTAGGACTGTAAATTACAGTCTGTGTCCCACAGCAAAAATCACATGCCCCTGGATTAATCATAGTACCTCTATCCTTGGCAATAATGGTTAGTCTAAAATGTGGGACCATGAACCAAGCAGAATTAGTCAGGGTCCTTCCCTGGGATTTATATGTGAAAACTGGAAGAAATTTCTTTTTCCTCTGGGCTGGCTAAGTAAGCTGAGATGACATCAGCCTCAAGCCATCAGCAGTCATCTTCTCAAACCTCATGGAGAAAACCTATTTGCAGTAAAAAAAAAAAAAAAAAAAAGAGATGTTCTGGGGATAGAATCTATACAATCATTCAACTTTCCAGTTACATAGCCAGTAAATTTCCTCTTTTGCTTAAGCTATTTTAAGTTGGACTTCTGTCATTTACAACCAAAAGACTTAGAGTGCCTGATGAGAACAGAAAAAACAAAAACCTAAAGTTGAAAAGAAATATATGAATAAGAGTGATGAAAAGAAGTTTGAAGTAATGCATGAACAAGAAAACCAATAAAAAGAAGTCTAGTGGAGACAATAGATTTAGAATAGGGAACAATTCTGGCAATGAGTGAAAGATAGTTGAGCTACACAGTATCTCTAAGAGCAACTACTCTTAGATGACTGCAGATACTGACTGTAATAAGAACAGAAAGAAACTCACTGGACCCTAAATCTCAGCTTTGTCCCAAATGTGTTAAAGTAAAAGATAAGTCTACAAATGTAACAAAATATAACATTTTGAAAATAATTTGCACTCCTCAGGAATTATTCCAATTGTAATGCTGTCTATTTGGTTTGCAATCACAGGCCCCATTCCACAAACAGAGATTTGCTACAGGGAGGAGATAAGCTATTTGATAATCCACTGCCATCAAGTCGATTCCAACTCATAGAGACCCTGTAGGATAGAGTAGAGCTGCCCTATAGGGTTTCTAAGGCTATAATCTTTATGGAAGCAGACTGCCACATCTTTCTCCTGCAGAACGGCTGGTGGGTTTGAACCACTGAACTTCGGTTAGCAGCCAAGCGCTTTAACCTCTGTGCCACCAGGGCTCATGACAGAAAAGCCTAGGCTTTACAGAGGTGGTGAGAATTTGCTGGATGAGGTGCCACAGCACTTCCATGTCAAGGTCCACAGCTGGAGGAGAGAGTAGCAGGCTAACTGTGAGGCAATACATGCTACCAGTGGAAACTAAAACAATTACTATGACACAGATCAAATCCCTGAAGGAAAAGTACTTGATGATAGGTGGTATTCCCTATAAGGTCAAGAACTACAACTGGTAAGACAACAGAGGAACAAGTTTATGGGACGCTATGCCTAAGGAGGAAGAAAGGCCTGGAGATCTACTTCCAAAAATCAGCCAGTGAAAACCCTATGGATCACAACATGCAGATCCCGTTGTGCACAGGGTTGCCATAACTAAGAGGCCGACTCAAGGGCAGCTAAGAACAAACAAGGCTAACGAGGGAGTTCCTGGGTGGTGCAAATGGTTAACATGCTTGGCTGCTAACCAAAAGTTTGAAAGTTCAAGCCCACCCAGGGGCACCTTGGAAGAAAGGCTTGGTGATCTACTTCTGAAAAATCAGTCACTGAAACTATTGAGCACAGTTCTACTCTGACACACACAGGACTTTTATACCTAAGGAGACTTATGCTTTCTCTGAAGGGTCTGCCCCCTGTATAGTCTGTGAAACTTCCTGATTACCTGAAACATTTTTCCTTTTGTTTAAAGTAGATCAAGAGTGCTAACTTAAATAAGTGGATTTCCTGACACTATTATTATCTGTATTAATATGCAGTTCCTTTGATTAGGACTTGTATTCAGTAATAACTTTAGGCTAAATATGAAGTTAATAAAATTGTTCTTCATGATATTACAAAATAGATCATAAATAAAGGAAGCTCTTAAAAGCTATTAATGAAAATAAAAATTAATTACCTTGAAATTTTCTGTGATCAGAGTAAACAACTTGGTTGAATTCCCCACAACACAGGCAGTATTTGACATTATTATTTCCAAAGGTGATAAAATTTTGAGTTTAGTGATCACCTGAAATAGTTTAAATAAACAATTTCTTAAATGTAAGCCTAGGATGTCCTCTAAAACAAAGCTTCATATTTTTCAGAGGCTTTAAAAGATAAGTACTTAAAATTAATTCATAAATGCACAAAATTACAACTGTTGTAGTTATATATTTCAATCAAAAACATGTTTCTAATGGTGATATATTAAACATATATCCTATAAATTAAAATATAAAACATTATCATAAACATAGGCTATATTTTATTCACAATTAGTTTGAAATAGCTCTAAGCCCAAAAGTTTATTTGAAATTCTTAAATGTATACTGCTAATATAAGATTTTTTTAAATAAATTTTTCTATTCAGTATTTTACCCATTTCTGTGAAAAAATATAAAGACAATAGCATAACTATGGTGATATAATCAGTATAGCAATACTAAATACAGGTTGTAATTGAGAGTACAGAAACACAGATGAGAAACGTCTGCCTTATGCCTTATGTTTCTCACATATGAGGTGCATTTCTTAGAACTACTCTAGGCACAAAAATTTTTAATCAATTTGCCTAACATTTCTGTTTTTAAAAAACTTTCTGTTCTTTTAAAATTGCATAAAAGTGTGAAATACCCAGAAATGACATTAGTATAGAGTACTAATATCATTTAAGTTGTTAGGAATATTTAAAAATTAATTATTAGTTAGAAAAAAAAGACCTAGGTACTTAGGAGATACTGGAGAAAGAAAGAAAGAATGATTAAACATTAAAAATAAGCATAATTCAAGGCAAGGTCATGGAAGCTCCACAGACACATCCAAACTCCCTGAGGGACTGAATTGCTGGGCGGAGGGCTATGGGGACCATGATCTCGGGGAACATCTAGCTCAACTGGCATAACATAGTTTACAAAGAAAATGTTCTATGTTCTACTTTGGTGAGTAGCGTCTGGGGTCTTAAAAGCCTGTGAGTGGCCATCTAAGATACTCCACCGGTTCTACCCCTTCAGGAGCAAGGGAGAAGAAAACTAAAGATACAAGGGAAAGATTAGTCCAAAGGACTAATGGACCACAGCTACCACAGCCTCCACCAGACTGAATCTAGTACAACTAGCTGGTGTCCAGCTACCACCACTGACTGCTCTGACAGGGATTACAATAGAGGGTCCCAGATAGAGCTAGAGAAAAATGGAGGACAGGATTCTAACTCACAAAAAAAGACCAGACTTACTGGCCTAACAGAGACTGGAGAAACCCTGAGAGTAGGGCCCCCGGACACCCTTTTAGCTCAGTAATGAAGTCACTTCTGAGGTTTACCCTTCAGCCAAACATTAGACAGGCCCATAAAACAAAACGAGACTAAAGGAGCACGCAAGTCCAGGCACAAGGACTAGAAGGCAGGAGGGGACAGGAAAGCTGGTAATAGGGAACCCAAGGTCAAGAAGGAAGAGTGTTGACATGTCTTGGGGTTGTTAACCAATGTCGTAAAACAATACGTGTACTAACTGTTTAATGAAAAGCTAGTTTATTCTGTAAACTTTCATCTAAGGTACAATAAAAAAATTTCTTATTAAAAAGAAAGCATAATTTTTTAATAGTAGTAATAGAGTTAAATAACTTTTTAAAATTTAAAGAGATTGGGGTAGACTACTCTTATCAGGTAGGTCACACAAATTCCCAGGATGATAGGCCAGTGGCCCAAATTAACAAAGAGTGATATGAAATGAAGACAACATAAGACGTGAAGGCAAGATAAGACGTGAAAACAAGAAGTAAAGAGACTAAATTAAGACTGATCTAAGATGTTAGCTTCCCTTAACCCTGGAAAATAAAATTCAAATACAGTTCATTGAGACAACTGTCAGGAGTTAACATCCTCATTTATATTACTTTTGGAATGAGGCCAGGAATTATAAATTTGAAGATATTAATTTCAGAAACTAATTTTAATAGTAACATTGGGGTTGTTAAAGTAACAGCAAAAAACATTCTTTTTTGGACAAAATGTATTTTAAAATTAAAAATCACATGTAAAACAATTTTATTTTAGAGTAATGTACATTGGAGCGATGGTGAATAACCTTTATTCTACCAAAAAAGTACATTAATTAGGAAAGCACTGACTTGAAAATCTGCATACACTAGATCAACCATTTTCTAAGATTATAAACACTTACCTTTGTATATGTTGTATTGTCTGCAAACTGGGAGAGTATAATCTGTGGGTTTTTTAAATCAATACTTGCCATTCCTATTTCACCTCTGGCGAGTCCTCTCCCTTCTACAACAGCTACAATAACTGATGGGGAGTGTGCAGAAACTGCAGATGAGGATGTAGCTATTAAAATTTTTCAAATAAAGAAAACGTAAAAAAATTAATAATAATAATTTCTAGTTCTTTCTCATAAGATCTCAAAGCACCAACTCTCTAGGACATGCCTATTAATAACCAAGGAAATAACTCTTTTTCTTCTCAGAAAAGAACTTTTCATTATCCAGAAAAAATAAAAATGTTAATTGTCAAAGTATTTCACCAAAACTTAAGTTTAAAGTTAAAATTAATAAATTATACATTGTCTTATTTTTACTGGAATGGAATCATAAAAGGAACACTGAACTTGAGAGCAGAAAATCTAGATTATTTACCTTACTCTCATTTAAAAGCTATTTGAATTTGGGCAGATTTTTTCATAATATAATAATAAATCACAAAAATGTAATAAAATAACTTCCCTGCCTAACTAAAGAGCTGGCTGGAAGAATCAAATGGGATAATATAGATGAATGCATTTTATAAAAAACAAAACATTATACAACTATAAATTCTAATTATGAGATACCACTGTAAAGTGGAAATAAAAATTATAACAAAATAACCAACACTTATTAAATGCTTACTACATACCAAGAATGTTCTAAATTCTTTACTTAGATTAACTCATTTAATTGTCACAAAAATCCTATCAGATAAATACTATTTTTCCCCCATTTACTAATAAGAAGACTGAGGTAAGAATGGGCCTGGTAGAGCCAGAATTTCCACCCAAACAGCCTGGTTCCAAGCCAGTGCTCTTAACCACTACATAACCACTAATTTTGAGATCTGTGCTTTACAAGCTACGGATGTTCAGGTAAGTTGTTCAACCTTTCTAAAGCTTCCATTTCTTCACTGTAAACTGGAAAAACCAGGACCTATTTCATAAGGTTGTTATGAGAATGGAATACGATAAAGTAGAAGTATTTTGTAAATAATATGAAGTTGTTTAAATAAAGAACATTATTCCTGGTTTAAAAAAAAGTCAGACTGAAAAATATTTTAAATTCTACTTTCAAAGAAGTAAAATTATGTTTTATTCCCTTGTCACTCTATAAATTCATCTCTTTAAATGTTCTGCATCCTACTTTGGTGAGTGGTGTCTGGGGTCTTAAAAGCTTGCAAGCGGCCATCTAAGATGCATCAATTGGTCCCAACCACCTGGAGTAAAGGAGAATGAAGAACAACATGGACACAAGAAAAGTATTAGCCCAAGAGACAGAAAGGGCCACATAAACCAGAGACTTCATCAGCCTTAGACCAGAAGAACTAGATGGTGCCCGGCTACCACCAATGATCACCCTGACAGGGAACACAACAGAGTCCCAGATAGAGCAGAAGAAAGGTGGGATGCAGAACTCAAATTCTAGTAAGAAGACCAGACTTAATGGTCTGACTGAGACCAGAGGAACCCCAGAAAGCATGGCTCCAGTATTCTCTATCAGGCCAAAACTAAAAGAATTTCCGAGGCCAACTCTTCAGACAGGGATTGGACTGGACTGTGGGATATAAAGTGATACTCGTGAGGAGTGTGCCTCTTAGCTCAAGTAGATACAAGAGACTAAACGGGCAGCTTCTGTCCGGAGGTGAGATGGGAAGGCAGAGAGGGTTAGGAGCTGGTTGAATGGGTATGGGGAATCAGGTGGAAAGGAGGAGTGTGCTGTCACAGTATGGCGAGAGCAATTAGGGTCACATAACTATGTATAAATTTTTGTACGGGGAAAAAATCAAAATAAATTCATCTCATTCCCCCTCTCCTTTCACCCCGACCCAGATTCCTTTTTTCTCTTATGTTCTTTTATTATAATGTCTATAAAAATACCTATCCATTTATGCTGAGTCAGTAGTCAACTTCAGAGTTCATTTAAAAATCTATTGTTGTTTAGATCTCAGAAGCTTTTCCCCATGAAAGCAATGTTATAAATGATGATTAAGTTTACATTAGGTCTATAGAAGTCAGTTTAAACTGTGTCATAACTGCAATAGAGCTGTTCTTCCTATTTTTAACTGGAAAATAAATACCAACTTGCAGTAGAAATTCAGTACACTCAGAACATATCTCCCCTAAACTTCTAAAGGAACATTTACAGTTAACTCTCTATCATAAATAATATTGTAATGAACATATTGCACATAACTTTTTTGTGGATTTCAGATTATTTCCTTAAAATGAATCCTTAGGAGTCAAATTACTAGAGCAAAAGGGAATCACTATTTTTTAAGGATCTCAATATATATTTCCAAATTTCTTTTAAGAAATTTTGCACCAATTTTTGTTCCATTTGCAGCATATGAGAAAGGCCAAGCTTATTGTATCCTCACCATGATGCTCTTCTAAAACATATTACTATTATTATTATTATTATTGCTAACTTAATGGACTGGTGCTTAAATGTGTTTTTTTTTTTTTTTTTTTTTTCAGTTACTATCAAAATCAAACATCATTTCACATATCCAAACCAAAAAAACTTACTGCCATCAAGTCAGTTCAGACTCATAGCAACCCTATAGGACACAGTAGAACTGCCACACTGGGTTTCCAAGGAGCAGCTGATAGATTCGAACTGCTGACCTTTTGGTTAGCAGCCTAGCTCTTAACTACTGCACCACCAGGGTTCCTTCACATATCCAGTTGTTATCTATATTTTCTCCTGTGACAGTTGTCTGTTTATATCTTTTTTATACAATTTTTATTGGGTCTTAATGTTTTTCAATCTGTTTTTATGATAACTTCATAAATCAATGACAGTAATTTATATTTGCTACCAATCTTAATTTTTTTTGCTATCCCAGAGATTTCTATTTTTGTATAAACAATCTTCTCCTTTATAATTTCTTCCATTGATTTTCTGCTAAGAAACTCCTCCTCCATTATATTTGAGATATTTGATATTCATTACTATTTTCTTCTAATCTTTTTAGTTTTTGTTCATTTTGATATTTCACCTGGGAAAAACTTGGAGCAGTAAATTTGACTGCCCACCATGTCTGAAGTAAACGATGGCCAGAAATACAGATCTATACTTGCTCATGGGCCATTGCTAATAGTTTAGCTGAATGGTCAGAAACTCAGAAGAAACTGGATTGGAAGACTGGTGACGTGGAAATTTGGGGATGAGCTATCTGGATGGACCTTTCAGAATGGACCTATTGAAAACTGTGAAAACATTTGTGTCCCATGTGAATCTCACCAAAGGGTATCCATTATAGAGAAGACTATAATTATTTGGACAAAATAATGTGCTCTGTGATATCAGTCAGTTTCTTTCCCCAGTTGCCTCAGCGCTTCCTCAATGGATGCATGAATAAAGTATCCATAGAGGCAGGAAGGGAGGCCTTGCATGGGCTCAAAAACATGGAATTCCCCTTACCAAGGCTGAGCTGGCTACACTACTGCTGAGTGCATAACCTGCCAGTAGCAGGTTGTGTCCTTAGTATGGCACCATTTCTCAGGTGAACCAGTCTGCCACTTGGTGGCAGGCTGATTACATGATCTCACCATGGAGGGGGTAAACACTTGTCCTCACTGCTATAGACACATATTCTAGATATGGATTTCCCTCCCTGTACATAATGCTTCTGCCACAATTACCATCTGTGAACTCACAGAATGCCTTTTCAATTATCATGGCATTCCACACAGTATTGTGTCTGTGGAAGTATATCAGTGAGCTCATGCCCATGGAATTGACTGGTTTTACCATATACTCCATCATCTAGAAGTGGCTGGCCTAAATGAAAGATGGAATGGCTTACTGAAGACTCAGTTATGAAGCCAAATAGGAAACAACACCCTGAAAACATGGGGCTGTATCTTACAGGATGTGGTTTATGTTTTGAATGAGAGACCATTAAATGATGCTAGCCAGATGACTGACCATTGCCAGAATACACAAGTCTGGGAAACAAGGGGTGGAAATGGGAGTGGCTCCTCTCACTATCACAACTACTAACCCACCTGAAGAATTTTTGCTGCCTGTCCTGGTAACTTTGAGCTCTGCTGGTTTAGAGATCTTTGTCCCCAAGAGAGTAATGGTTCCACCAGTGACACAACAACAGTTCTACTGAATTGGGAGGTTGCCACCTGGACATTTAGGGCTTCTTATTTGTGCTACTGAGCCAACAGGCAAAAAAAAAAAAAAGGAGGTTAATCTACTGGCTTGCATTATTGATCCTGATTACCAAAGGGAAATCATGTTGCTAGACACAATGGAAGCAAAGAGGACTATATCTGAACCCAGGGAGTCTCTGGAGCATCTCTTCCTACTTCGATGTAAAGGTTAATGGAAAACTAAACCAAAACCACAAACCAAACCTGGTGCCATCAAGTCGATTCTGACTCATAGTAACCCTATAGGACAGAGTAGAACTGCCCTATACGGTTTCCAGGGAGCAGCTGGTGGATTCAAACTGCCGACCTTCTGGTTAGCAGCCAAGGTCTTAACCACCGTGCCACCAGGGCTCCAACGGAAAACTACAGCAACCAAAAAAATGGCACGACGACTGAGAACTTACATCCTTCAGAAATGATGGTTCGGGTCACTCTACCAGATAAAAAACCCAGAGCAGCTAAGCTTCTGGCTGAGGGTAGGGAAATATGGAATGGATACTTAAAGAAGAAAGCCAGAGATATCAACTATGACTTCATGACCTATTACAGAAACAAAGACTATAGTAGCTTTGCATATTTTCTCTATGCCTGTTATATACATGTGTTTATTTGTATATACTAAGGAGTCCATGGGTGACACAAACAGTTAAGTGCTCGACTACTAGCCAAAAGAGGAACCTTGGAAGACAGTCCTTTGCTTCTTGGCAATCTGTTTCTGAAAGGTCACATCCCATGGAGCAGTTTTACTCTGCACACGTGGTGTCACCATGAGTCGGAATTGATTCAACGGCAACTAACAACAACATTTACATATATTAACCATTTTATTCTTCTCTTTACTTTCTGTTTAAAAAAAACAAAACTATACAAGACATTGAAGGTTAAACCAGAGACTCTATCAGCCAGAGACTAG